GTCCTTCTCCTCTAACAAAGCCTGTAGTCCTGGTTTTCGGCCTCTGTCTGATCTTTCAAAAATATACCCTAGATTTGTTTTAATCATGTTATGGTAAGACTCACAGACATAAAAAAAACTGTCACAAGGAAAGAAGTTTATACTCACAGATCCCTAAAAACAAGAGGCACGGCCTGGGCACCAGGGTCGGTCAGGAGGCAGAGGGAACAGGGGGAACATGGACAGCAGGCTTTGTCTTCGTTTCCGAGAGAAAGGGAAGACGAGACAGGGTGGGCAGGGTTAGGAGTGGCTAGTTTGAATACTTTCTGCAGGCTCTGGGGACTAGGGCTGTCCCGCGTTGCCTGGTATCTGGTTGGCCATGGGTGACTAAGCAGACGAATATTAGCCTCCAGGAGCCCAAGAGCCAGATAGAGGAGGTGGATGGAAGTCTGAGCTGTGGACTGGTAGGTTTGCATATGAAAGGCATGCTCCTGGGCAAGTCCATTGCTATGTCTGAGAATTAGGTAGCCCTGGGAGGAGCAATCTCTTCCTGGTCAGTGAGGCCCTGGATGTCAGAGCATCAGGAATACAGCAAATAGCCCGGCTGGTTGAGCATCGACCTTTGAACCCGGAGGTCACGTTTGATTCCTGGTCAGGGCACATGCCTGGTTTGCAGGCTCGATCCCCAGTGTGAGGCATGCAAGAGGCAACCCAACAATGATTCTCTCTTATCATTGATCTTTCTATCTCTCTCTCCCTCTCCCTTCCTCTCTGAAATCAATAAAAATATATTTTTTAAAAACAACAAAGAAAACCACAAGAACACAGCGAACATTTTTGTTCTCAGGGGAACTGGTTTTCGTTTTTGCCCATTGAGTATGATGTTGGCTGTAGGTTTGTCATATATGGCCTTTATTATGTTGAGGTATGATCCCTCTATTCCCACTTTGCTGAGAGTTTTTATCAAAAAAGGGTGTCGGATTTTGTCGAGTGTTTTTTCTACATCAATTGATATGATCATGTGATTTTTGTCTTCCAATTTGTTTATGTGATGTATCACATTTGTTGATTTGTGAATATTGTACCAGCCTTGCATCCCCGGAACAAATAAAGGTCATGGGGTATGATCTTTTTAATGTATTGCTGGTAGGAGAAAGATAAGTATCACGTGATCTCACTCCTATGTGGAATCTAATGAATAAAATAAACTGATGAAGAAACTAGATCCAGAGACATAGAACCATGAACAGACTGATGAATTTCAGAGGGAAAATGGGGGTGGGGGTTGGGGAGGAGAGATTAACAGGGAAATTTATATGCATATATGCATAGCCCATAGACACAGACCATAGTGTGGCAAAGGCTAAGGAGGATGTCGGGAGGAGGGGGCCAATGCGGGGGGACAAAAAAAGGGGACATCTGTAATACTTTCAAAAATAAATTTAAAAATATAAAAGAAACATTAAAAAATAGGATATAGCGAATAAGAAAAGATCTTTAATACAATTGCAAAGCTCCCAGCACCCAGGAAGTGGGAGGGTCATCCTTGCCTGTTTCAGCTCTAAGTTGCTGGGGTCTGGGCCTCCCTCTACTTGTTTCACACGGCGAGTCTTCCTTTCCCAGCTGGACACTAATTCCTGGAGGGCTCACTGCAGGCTTGCGCCCACCCAGGGCCAGACGAACCCTCTCCGCGTCCCCTGCCCTGATGGAAAACAGGATGAAGTAAAGAGGGTGATGTCAGCAGAGGCGCACAGTCTATGAGGAAGGCCAGGGACCAAGACTTTGCCACTAGTCTCTCCTCCTTTCCTGTCCTTCAGAGAAGGCTTGTCACTGCCATGGCTCCCGTGGCCTGCCCCACCTCAGGGACCGCATCCCTCTCCTTTGCTTCCCCAGACCTTGATGAGTAGCAGCTGAAGGAAGCACAGATGAACAACTTTCTCCGCGAAAGGCTGTGGGAGGAGAGGAGAGGGGAGGGAGGTTAAACTGTGAGGGGTCTGGGAGCAATCATTCGGTTAAGCATCTAGCTCATGAGGCACAGAGACCTGAGGGTGGTTCAAACTCCAGAGGAATAGAGGAAATTGGAGTGAGGTAACTCTTGGAGTCTCTGTTTCTTTCTCTGTAAGGTGAGAATAAAATCCTGCATCTCACAGAACTGCTGTGAAAATTAAAGGAACACACAGGCAGGCCCTCGATCAAACTCCGAGAGCAGTGGTTCTCAACCTCAGCGGTCAAGGTGGGACCTGAGAATTAGCATGTCTTACAAGTGCCCAGGCGATGCTGGCGTAGCTGGTCAACACTGCGATACCTGTGAGCGGTGTGACTAGGTCACGGCCAAAGTGCTTGTGCCATTTCACATTCCCCCTGTGGTGTCTGAGAGTTCCAGTTGCTCCACATCCTTGCTGACAGGTAGTCTGGTTGATCTTTTAATTTTAGTCATTTAATAGATGTTTAATGACACCTCATTGTGGCATTTCCCCAGTGACTAATGATATTACACATCTTCTCATGCGTATTAGTTACCAATATATCTGCTTTGACAAAATATCTATTCAAATATTTAGCTCAATTTTTAAATTTGAGATTTTATTTTTTAAATTTTTAAAAAATATATATATTTTTTATTGAATTCAGAAAGAAAAGGAGAGGGAGAGAGAGATAGAAACATCAATTGATCGGCTGCCACCTGCACACCCCACATTGGGGATTGAGCCAGAAAGCTAGGCATGTGCCCTGACTGGGAATCAAACCAAAACCTCCTGGTTCATAGGTCAACGCTCAACCACTGAGCCACGCCGGCCAGACCACCCAAGCATCTTTCACAGCCCAGAGGACTGAGTGACAGTAAGCTCTGTGCCTCAACTTCCCTTCTCAACTGTAAAATGGAGATGACAATACACCCACCACAGAATGTTGTAAAGCTGAAATGAGGCAATGGATGTTTTGTGGCTGAGTCAGATAAGAGACTTCCATAAAAATTTGAAACTTCTCTTCTCGGGCCTAGCGGGAAGGGTATGAAAAGCAGACACAGAGAGAGGCGGGGGCTGCCTGGCTGGCTGTGGGAGAAATGGAGAAGAAACCTGTTAGGATTGGGGAAGAAACGGATTGAAAAGGAAGTTGGTCTGCTGCTTCCATCTCCAAAAGACCAAGGCCACTTCCTCTGATGAAATCATGCCCACCCACTCCCACAGTCTACTCAGTAAGTTGATGGCAACCTCGTTCTGGGGAGGCAATGGGCAGAGCCTCCTGTGAGTCACCAAAGGTCCCAGTTCCCAACCTCTCTCCCCGTTCACCACGTCACAGGCGGGCAGTGCCCTCCAGTAGGGATGGTCCCAGGGACTGTCCTTGGGGTGACCCATTACTGCTCTGAGCCTTAACCTCCTCTGTCCAGGGAAGACTCTGGATTAGCCAGGGCTCCCACAGCGGTGGATGGGACCATCTAAGGAGCATTATAAAAATACAGCCTCCTGAAGGGAGGACCGGGGAACCATGGCTTTTGTGGGTGCTCTTTGCAGTGGTCCGGGGAGGAGAAAGTTTACCTGCTTCCTGACGGCCGCCGTCCGCTGCCCAAACCCAGGAGCCCGAGCAGTGCTGTGGAGAAGTTGTTCACAATATAAGCAGCCTATTCCAATAGAAAATCCTTAAAAGGAGCCTCTTAAAGTGTGTCTTGTGTGGAAAACGTGTAGATTATAAGAATGTACAGCTTTTGTCCCAGTTTATTTCTCCATTTACTGGATGCATTCATGGAAGGCACATAACAGGTCTTTGTGGGAAGAAACAAAGAGAAATCACAAAAGCTATTAAGAGAGCACAAATAATGGGATTTATGCCAGTTACATACAAGGATCCTGCATATCTCAAAGACCCTAAAATTTGTAACATCAAATATCGGGAGTAAATTATGTAAAGTTATCAGCAATAAACTTATTTTATAATAAAAAAAAACACAGCCCCCTGCGGCTCAGCCCTCAGAGCTCTGCACTCTGGTGCTGAGGCCTAGAGATTCTGTGGTGCAGCCAGGTAGAAGCATCCAGAAGGCTCTGTGGATTCAGCAAGAGCGGAGTTCCACGGGGGGAAAAAAGGAGACATATGTAATACTCTTTGTAATACTTTAAGCAATAAATAATTTTAAAAAAAGAGAGAGAGAGAGAAAAAAAGAGTGGAGTTCCAGTCCTGGACCCATCACTTGAGAGTCACGGACTTGGGCACACCCTCTCCGAGCCTTGGTTGTCTCACAACTGAAGGGGTGAGAACAGAGGGCCCTGCAGATCCACACTTGAATTCTGTGGGTAAAGGCATGGGCTCCAGAAAGCCACTCTCTGGGGAGATGGAAGTGTCAGGCCACACTCACCTCTTAATCCCAGCGAGGGTGTGAGATGCAGAGGGAACAGAATGGGGCCTGTGGGTCTTGTTTCTGCCTGTGAACTACAGGGGAGGGTGAGGGACCAAGAGCCAGCTGGATGCACCTG